AATGGCTCTTTGCCCAAATCACGTCCAACCCTGCTATCAAATACGCAGTCCACGTACGTTGCCTTCCTGCTAAAGAGCACCTCGTGATTTGCCAGCAGATCAATCCACCGGCGCGCATCGACGACATCAACATTCTCCAGGTAAACAGACCCAATGCGATAGCGACAACACCATTCTAGGCGACGCTCGAGTCCATGCGCAAGTGCGTCGAGGACCTCCCGATGCCGGTCGACTATGCGCTCATCGACGGCAAACGCATGCCAACACTCGACGTCGACGGCGAGACCGTCGTCAAAGGGGATGGGCGCGTCTACTCGATCGCAGCTGCCTCCGTCATTGCCAAGGTAGACTCGTCAATCTACGGCAGCCGCCGTTGACAATTGCTAGGTCACGCGAGACCGCCTTATGGTCGCCTACGACAAGGTACCACTTGTACACAAGTATGCCCACCGTCGTGTTGAAGGTCGCATAGTACGTCACCGCGGGTGGAGCGTGGTCCACGGGCACCACCTCGTCCGACATTGGGGCGACTGCCGCCACCGGCAAGCCATTCGCGCATTGCACAATGCGCAGCAATTGGTCGATCTTGGATTCGTACCGATCAATCTTGGTCTCAAGAAGGCTGTACTGCGAGCTGAGCTCGCGCAAGGCAAAGGCAGTGTCGCACTTCTGGCGACATATAGATATATGAAATCAACCAACATTATTGTATTTTGGCTATCCATTCACGCACGCCACAGCGTTGGAACAAAACAATTGTCGGAGCTTGGACGTGGTTGATGACCGTGATGAGCGTCGTCTCGATCATGTACTACATGACCCCGTACTTGAACAGGGACGTGGTGAGCGCACCGCGACCTTCTTGAATCCAAGCGACGACGTCGCAAATGTCCTTGTTGCGGCTCGTAAACAGCGCCGCGAGAGAGATTGATACCAAGTACATTTCAGGTGCTGCAGCGCACCAATCGGCACCGCTGCGTCCGAGAGCGCCAAGCCAACATGCGCGGCCTTGAACGCGCCACAGTCGCTCGTGCTGTCGCCCGTCATATCTCCCCATATTTTCTACATCGAGACAATAGTCTACATCGAGACGATAGTATCAAAGTAACAGGACGCGACGTACCCTTGCGCCACGAGCTGCTGAACGATCCACGTCTTGGTTTGGGGCTTGACGCGGGCAAAGATCTTGGTGTCGCGAATCAAGTGCGGAAGCAAGCTCTCAAAGTCCGTGTTGTGGGCCACAACCGCGAGTGACGTGCCACGCTACGTCTATCGCCGCGGCTTGGAGCGTCTCTTGGCGCGCCAGAACTCGCGCTCGCGGCCAACGTCTCGTCCACACGGGCCAGAGCATCACACATCCAGACGTATCGATCGGTGTAGTACCTTTAAGAACGCTCTTGCTGAGCCATCGGTCCGCCGAGCACCTTGTTGCCGAGCCAAGAGTGGACGGCCTAGGTGACGCACGTGATGGCGCATTTCCGACTGCATACATTGTGCCAATGGCCGCGAGCGGTCCACGCTCTGGAGGCGCGTCAGTAGAGACC